GACAAGTGATTGATTACACATCAAGGAAGTTTCCTACTTTCTCTCACTACATCCTTTCACCTAACATTTATTAAATGCCTACTACCCAGTAGGCACTGTAGATGCAAGACAGCACTATATATATTCTTTTATATATATGTAGATATATCTTATCCTGTAAAAATGGGCTAGGGGAATATTTTCAAATAAATAGTTCTATAAACAAAGAGAAAACTGCACTCTGAAGAGGAGTGTGAATCTGGAGACACCTAGACAGGGGGACCAATAAGACTTTCAAGTAGAGAGAAAGGCAGGAAGAAACTGTGGTAGCAGGGGACACGTAGGACGAGGGATGAAAAAAATTGGAAAGGTGCCAGGTAGTGACAGTCTTGGAGCCCTCGTGGCAGGAGCTCCTTTTCCTATGTCTGAAGATTAATGGGAAGTCATTCAGTGCACATGAAGGACAGATAGTACAGTGTCAGGCAAGGAAGGTGAGTAGCCTATAAGTAACTGAACCAGTACATGCCTGGGGAAAGGTGTAGAGGAAATAGCGAGGAGGTCAATTATCACAGAGGCCTTAACTATCTAAGTCATCAGTCACTTCCCTCTTAGCCACGCCTTTCCAAAATTCCTTAGGAGTTAGGGATATGACCCAGTGTGCCTAGCATAAGCACAATTCTGGGTTTTACCCTAACCATAAAACAAACAAATGAATTAAAAATTGAAAAAGATGTAACAGTGAAGATTAGATCAGGAAACAAAGGTCAGTAGTTGCTAAACTTTGAAAAGAAACAGGATTTAAAGTTTCTTGAAGATTGCTAACAAGTGACTGTGCAGAAATTGGTTGAACACCTTATCAGGTGATAGAAACAGCTTTGTGGGGTACAGACACATCGTAGTGACAATCTGAGCAGGTGTCAGCGCATGTGGTACTATGTGATACACAAACTCCACAGAACTATTAAGAAACATCAAATATCTGGAAGGAAAACACTTTACCAAGGAGAAGTCTGACTCATTCAAAAACACAGTGTCATAAAGACAAAAGAGTCTGAGGAACTCTTAAAGAAGACAGTAAGATATAACCTATTGGTTTCCTATAGCTAGAACAAATTCCCACAACACTCACAGCTATAAACAACATCAATTTTATTTTGCAGTTCTTGAGGTCAGAAGGAAGTAGGGAATAATCTTACTAAGCTAAATCAAGGTGCTCATTGGGGCTGAGAAAGAGTTTTGCTTCGCCTTTTCCAGCCCCTCTCGGCCACCAATGTTCCTTAGCTAGTACCTCTGCTTCCACCGTTAACACCAGGAGAGTATTATTTTCAAATTTCCCTTTGTAGCTCAGACACACCTGACTCCCTGCGTAAGGATGCATGCCCATTAGAATGGGCGCACTGGATAATCTAGAATAATCTTCCCACCTCAAAAATCTTAACCGAATTGCACCATCAAAGTCCCCTTGCCCTGTAATGTAACAGGACATAACAACATTGAAGTGCCATTATTTATAACATTAAAATGTAAATTATGATCTTGGAACAGACCTTTACTAGAGGAAGAGAAATGAAAACTCAAAAAGATAAAATTGAAAAACAGGTGATACATTAAAATATCACACTCCTAAACTTACTAAGTTGAAAATACGCTGCTGATACCTAGGAATATTCTCTACTTAGGAAACACATGGAAGCCATGACATACAGACCTTCCTCAAGCGGTTCAGAAAAATAAAAGACGTATTTATTGAAAGAAAACAGATAAAGAAAATGAATGTTGAAAAATTGTTGAGCCTAAATTAGAGCATATGGTATTTTTTCGAATATTCTTGCAACTTGTCTTTGCATTTAAAGGCATTTCCAAACAGAAGAAAACTGTATGTAATAATTTACTCTAATTAAAAATGATGAGGAATTGACTCAAGTAGATCAAGGCTTGGGGGTTGATACAGACAACAGAATAAAAGTGCTGCTGGGTGAGCATAGGAACAGTCCAGACATTTCTAAGGCTGTAAATCCAAGGACATCCTAACCCTCCAGCAGTATTATGGTCCTGAAGATTTTAAAATAGAATTGGTGATTTTCTTTGGATTTAAATACTAACTAGATCACAACCTGCTATCAGTGACCAAAAATCTGCCAGGTCATTTTCTAAGAAAGCCCTTAAGGAAAGGAGACTTCCCTTTTCAGGAGTGTTTAGCTGATTTTAACAGCAAAAGTGAAAAATAAACTGTATCCTGTGGCAGAGCTTCCTCCTGCCCAGTGCCCAGGCAGACTTTTACTGCACTGGCCCCAGGGACTCTGTCTGGCACCATTCCCACTCCACCCTCCATTGTTTAAAGACAAAAGATAAGGCAGCTGGGACTCAGACCACCAACAAAAAACCACTAGGCCTCTCCACTGGGAAACTCCTCTGGTCTTGGCAGAAATTAACACGTTAAAATGAAGGTAAAGGGTAAGACCCCAGTTTCTGCTCAAAGCCCTTCGCACCAGCTGGTTTTTCTTGCCAAATGTGGTGGCCAAGAACAATGTTTCTCAGTAGTTCCCGGACAGCATGCCAAGACCAAATAATAGCAGGCTTTTCTCAATTACAGAAACACGCACAAAATATGTGGCAATAAGTCGGCTTTATTTTTACAAGCCTGGCTCTCGCTATCACCAGCTCATACTGAAACTTATGATTTAGCACTGTACGATTAGACCAGGACAAAATCATCTATTTAGTTGTTTCCTGCTTAACACTTGCTTTGTAAAGAGCAGCAGGATTTCTTTGTGCAAGTCTCGCAATCACCAGGCGAAAGACCCTAAAGTCAGGAGTGGGAATGAGTCTTTATTACCTAGAAGTTTCCCTCCAACACTAGGCTCAGCATTGTAATTATTCACATCCCCATTTTTAGCAACCCAGGATGAAGAGTGGATAGCCTGGGGGGCTTTTCAGGTCGGTCACTTTCTAGCTGTAGAACCTTGGTCAAAGTAAGTCTGGGCTCTAGCCCTCCCTGTGTCTTTTGTAAACTAGGAATAATAATAGTCCACCCAATTCACAGGCCTCCTCTCTCACCTTCCAAAGAGAGTGCAATCATTTTGCAAAACAAAAAATGTTACAAAGGCTAGGTAATGTTCCTGCAGTTACTATTAAAGAGATTTTGTCATTTACCTTTTTTGGAGCTGGGGATGAAACCTAGGGCCTTAAATGCACTAGGCAAGTGCTCTAACGCTGAGGCTAAAGTTTTAAGTTTTTAAACTTGAAAGTACAGGTTCAATGGTCTTTCTTAAACAAATACTTGCTGACTAAGTGATCAAATGGCTGCATTCACTGATTTTCAGGCTACTATAATTTTACAACTCTAACTCCAGAGAACTTGGCCGCTTCAATAAACAACAACCTTAACAGACAAACGTTGGCTCAGCATGAAGATACATGTCCTAGAAGATCTATCTAAAGAAATTTTGGGAGTTCATGCTAAAATGTGTTAGAGACAAAATCAGGGTCCCAAAACAAGAGACCACCACTCAAAGTAAGGTATCTTGGCAAGGCAAAGTTTGCTTCTACACAGAGGGGTACGTAGTCACTGAAGCTGGAGAGCAAAGAGACGGCTCAGAACATTTGATAGGTTCTTATCCTAGTGTAAGAAGAGTTTTTTTTCCCAGTTGGCTGGAGGTCTGGCCTCAGTCTTTCTGTTGCTAGTTTTAAAAGAATGGGCACAAGGGGTCAGCCACTCTGGGCCATCAAGTTCCCGGAATGCCACAGACTTTGGGCATTTGGGACTTTGCATAAACAAATGTTTTACAAAGTAGATTAGATTACAAAATAGCATCACAAAGCTTATATCCCTATGATCATTCTTTTGATAGAAAAGATCTGAATTCCTTGTATTTCCTTCAGCCACTCATCAGTTAAAATACAGTCATAGACAATCTCTTCAAATGAAAACTTCTTGTAGTTTTTGAAAGGCATTTTAAAGAACATAGTAATAGGCTTAAATTGGTAATCATTGTAAGGAACTGATTCACAAAATTACTCAAAGTCAAAAACAATCTGTGCAAAATCAGCACACAGTAAGTATTTGGAATGTGAAAGGTGAGAGCTGCAAAAGAGGAGGCCAAATGGCTTTAAATTTACTCCAGGAACACAATTAAAATGAATCACCCTGGAGCAGCATGTGAAATGTATGCTGGACAATATAAGAAAGTGCCAGGTGGAATAGCATTAATGGTACACCTTTCAATATAGAAACAACTTGTTCTCTTAAGTGTGTATAAAAGCATGCAGGACTACTGTGCATCTTTTTGATTTACACAACTCTAGTGGCTTGTCCACAGCCTGACACCCCAAAACTTATATCAAAAGAGAAAATTCTACTCAGAAGAACCTTTGCCACTAAGCAACAATGTGGAGAATAATGGCAACAGGTGGGACACATGTGCAGGGCTTGAGTTACAATGTTTTTATTATAAGAAGATATAGTTGAAGTTATTGCTAAGGTTTGGTAAGGTCTGTGAAGAGCACATACATATTATATTAACCTCTATATTTGATTTATTTTGTATTTATGAATTCTAGCAGCACATAATGAGAAAAATAATTAAAACTTCTCACAGAGAAGTAATTATAGCCACATATTTTATCATAAAATTCAAAGGCCTATTGTATGGTTAATAAGCTCAGTAATAAAACATTTTTTGTTCATAAATAGATATGAGAGTGGCATACATGAAACCTTCTCAAGGAAAAAAATCCATAATTTTACATTTAAGCCTTTTTGAGAGATGTTCAGTGAAACAGAAATCTTTGGCTAAGTCTAAAGAAGATGATCCTACTTCTATTTAATGTACACATCTAAAACACATGTTGAAATGATCACTGATAATTTTGAGGGAATTTTTTTAATTTGATAAACTAAATTCCAAAGATATTTTCTTCCAATAATGACAAAGGTCAGATTTTTTTTTATTTTAAGGTGACTGATCCCATTTCTTCCCTCAGTTACTAAAACGCAACTCAGAAATGCACAGATTACATACCAAAACGTCCATCCCGGTGACATAGTTGAGGGTTATCATATAATCATTTGGGAGATTTGCCACCTACAGAAACCAACAAATGAGTAAGTGAGTAAATAAAAAGAATTCCTTCAGCAAATTCATACAGTCAGTTAGTCATATTATTCGTTTTCCACTCTCCTTTGCAATCCCAAATACATAGGGATGATATGAAACTTCTGTATTCCAAATTCAGCTATGTGTGGCCAAGTATAACCTACTGAGTTTTGGAAACACAATATGAATTTCGATACCCCCCAGTAGTACAGGAATTCCCCTCTAGGACTATTTTTCAATGTAGTTCTCCATAGGATTACTAATAAAATACGCTTTTTGTTTCAGTGATTCTCAAACTGATGCCTCAGCACGAACAAGGAACCTGCTAGAATGTGAGTTCTCAGGTTGCCCCAAAGGAGCTGCTTCGTAAGTCCTGCAGTGATTTTGAAATGCTCAAGCTGGAGAGCTGCTTATATACGCTGATCCTAAGTCAACAAAGCTTCAAAAGAACACAGCTACTTTTATAAGAAACAAATGCTTTACAACAAATAATTTAGAAAGGTGCGGTGTTGTGACATCACTCAATTCACTTACCTTGGGCTGGACACTTAACATGGCTGGCCTATTTGGCTAACTTTTAAAGGCTTTCAAAATGTCTGACCTGTTACTGGAGCAGCAGTTCTAGTTTAAGTGAGTAAGCAACAGATTTGGAACCAGAGAATCTAGAATCAATATAAACTATTTGCATTTTGGTTTCCTTCATTTATAAAATGGAGATCTAGTTACCTGTGTCAAATGATCACTTAATAGTTAAGTGAATGTGGCAAATACATTGTAAAATAATCAACTCAGGGTTCTTTATTGAAAACTAGCTTTAAAAAAGGTTTCAAAGACATGTAATGCTGTCACCTTGTCTCTGATTACATCATTTTGCCTAAAGAAAGCTGGAATCACATGCCTGTTTGCAGGAGTAGGTCATCTCCTACAAGTGTCCTGTAACATAAGCCATATGCTTTTTTTGGTCTTGTCACTAGCTTTTAAAAACCTTTCTCTTTTTTCAGGGTGAGGAGGTGGTGTGGAGATGAGGAAGCAAGGTCTCCCTGTAGCTCCAGCTGGCTTGGAAGACCTGACCAGGCTGGCCTTGATCTCATGCTACACCTGGCTTTTTTTTTTTTTTTTTAACAACTTGGTGAAAAAAGACCCCAGGCAAATCAAAAGTGGTCAGAGCTGAGCCAAAGTGGTAATGAGTGCCATTGCACAATCATTAATCCACCTCACACTCATCTCAAACTTCCGGTGACAGGCTTTGGTAATTGCTTTTGCTATCATTCATGGGATGACAAATAGTAAAGAGGTCTAGTATTTATCAAGTATTTGTAATGTTGCAGGCACTGTGTTCATTAAAGAGTGTTAAGTGGCATGATCACTTCCAATCCTCAGATCCCTCTGATGTGGTTATCTCTAACAGGTGAAGAAACTGAGGCTCAAAGAGCCCTGGGTGGGTTTAATAGGAGTCCTATCCAGGGCATGCACTCTGCAGTCTCTTTTTCTCTACACTTTGGCCACCTGGGAATTAAGTGTAGACTAGAATCCAAGTCCTCTTGATGGCAGAAGTTCCCTTCCTGGCTGCACCAGTTCATCTGCTCTCTGGCGCTTTCTGCATTAGAATGGACTGTACCAAATCGTTTTACATGTAAGCCTGGTGTGGGGATACAATATCTACGATCCTAGTATTTGGGAGATTGAATGGCCAGACCTTAGATAAAAAATTTTCCTTGAGAATCTCCACCATTATCTATCTTTACACTATCCTGAATAAAAGAGTAGAATCCTCACTGGCTATTGGAAATGTATCTGGGCTGCTATAGAAGGTGGTGTTTTTTATTTATCTTAGGAGCTAACTCCCCTGAACTCTACATTTAGCCTTTTTCCTCTTCGTTTTCCTACCACGTTTTCATTAATATCTTTTACTTTCTGTAAGTTCATTCCTATCATTGAAAAGCAAATCACCTAGCCATTTTACACAAACCCTGTTGGCAAAGACATAGTGAGCACCGTGGCAGACATGAAAGCTGGAACATGAGATAGAACAGCTACATTGTAGCTCATGATGGACCAACCGTGTAGATTAAAGCCATCGCACCTGGAAAGCGTGGTTGGAAGTAGCCAGCATTCTGAGCACAAATTGCTGAACAATCTAGCCCCTTATGCTGAAGGCCTAATTTACATTATTTTTTTTTAAATACAAGTTACATTAAAACATTAAAAATACAAAATTAGATTATTTTTTAAAATATAATCAATTAAATTGGTATTTCTAAAACAGGATCAGAGTATGCTGGAGACTATGTAAGGGACATACTGGCCAATTTCATTTTATGAGTTATTAATACATAGAAATTGCTTTAAGGAAGCCAAAGATAGCTTACAAAAATTCTCTGACCAGGACACTAAAATCTCCACACTGTGTCAACTAGGGGATGTAGTTCCACATTGAGCTGGTTTACTATTATTTGATTTCTGGTGGGACTGAAAAAATACTATTTTTGAATACTTCTTTACAAGTTATAATAAGTTTTCATATACAGCCTCTACTATAAACCCATGAGACATGTCTTATTAAGCCTATTTTACAAATGAGGACAGGGAGGGAAGTGTGGAGTGGTTAGCTAGCAACTCCAAGGTCATAGGCACCAGCTGTGACTCCTGAAGGTGGAGGAAGGGAGAAGGCCTGGCTCTCCCTGTGGTGTTTGCACAGCAGCAACAGAGCAGGAAGGTTCTCTTTGTGGCTTGATTGGCTTTCCTTGTTTGCTTTACAATTACCTTTGGAAAAAAATTTTAAAAGTTGAGTTGTAGATATTTATGGTCACTTTGTAAGTTGTTGTATTACTTTCTAAGCACTTACACTTACTATCATGTTGAAGTTGAATAGCATTGAGGAAGTGCAAAGAAGCTTGTGATAATTCAATATCTCTGATGTCTACTGATCATGATGGAATGTTTTATAGGGTAGAGGGAGCCTTGGAACTGAAAACACAGATGTCCCTTGAAGGCATGGAGGTTGAAATTGGTACCAAAAACACAGGTTCTGAAAAGAGACCGCTTACACATTGGCTATCAGCCTGAAAGTAGCAAACTCAGGTTTGGGGCCATTTTCTTCAACTGCTTTAGCTTTCATTTCCTTCTGTATTAATGGACATTAGAGTGTATGTGGCTAATGTTATGGAGAATAAAATAACCCATTTTAAAGGCTAAAGGATTTTGTGGAACATGCCTGCAGTCCCAACTGTTTGGAAGCTGAAGCAGGAAGATTGTCATGAGTCTAAGACCAGCCTGGACTATATTAGTGAGTATCTAGGGAGTTACCATAGCCCCCTCATGGGCTATAGTAATAATTATGTCTCTGAAACCAAAGTGGAGGAAAAGTAAAGGGGGGTGGGAAGGAGGAAGAGGAAGGAGGAGGAGGGTCTTGGGCATGGAGTGTAAATGGGGATAAACGTCTGTGAACAGTACATGCAGTATAGTGCACTGCAGCACACAAAAGGATAATGAGTAAAGGCAAAGAATTGAAAGTTTGTGGTATATTTGAGAAACCAGAAAAAAAGTTAGAAACATTCCAGTAAAGCCACAGAAAGGGGCCTTTGAATGCTGGGCTAAGGGACTCTGACGGTTCAGTAGGAACAGTGGCCTTAGGTAAATCACATCTCCATAGACTTCTACTTTGTCTGTGAAATAAAGAGGATGAATGGGTAGTTACTAAAATTAAGTCAGGTTTAACATTTCTCCTAAAAGCCATGGCACAATGCTCAGTGGGGTAAGCAGGGAAGGAGGAAGAGGAGTCTGGAGGGACAGATGTTAGCAAGGAGAGATCAGAGACAGGCAAGAAGTTAAAATATTTCAAGGAAAGTGTTGGATGTGTCCAACATTTACAAAGAGGCTGAGAGTCTGTAGAGAAGCAGAAATCAAAGGCAGATGGTGGTGATGTACACTTAGAATCCTAGCACTTGGGAGGTGAAGGTAAGAGGACAAGAAGTTCAAAGTCATGGTGAGATAGTAGCTACCTAGGGAGATGGTGAATTCAAGGTCACCCTGGTCTACATGAAATGTATTCAAAAGATAGAAAAAAGAAAAAGAGAAAAATAGAAAGGGAAAGAGAGAGAAAAAGGGAGAGAGAGGGTGGGAGGGAGGGAAGAAGGGAAAGAAGGGAGGGGAGGAAAGAGCAGAGTTGAGATCTCGTCTAGATTCCACAGAGGTACCTGTGGTAGTAGGAACTAAGGCTATATACTTAGAAAAATCTATTCTACTAAAATAAGTTTAGAGGGATAATTAATTTAATTAATAGAAAAATTTATCAAAGGCTTAGATTTGGAATGCAAGGATATTAGGCTGTAAAATGTGTATTTAAAAAAGTTGCCGCATGATGGGCTAACTTTAGCATATGGGCTCATTTGCAGTCTTCTTTCGATGTCTGAGGATTGACCATACTCAGTGACACTGGAAAAACACAGCAAAGGAGAATGGTGTTTGGAAATGCTGGAAACTTTGCCAAGAAAACATCTTGGCAAGTTAAGCTGGCACTGGCTGCTTCCCAGCCCCTGCAGGTATTTGGACTCAGGAGAAAAGAATGCCAAGTCAGAACACTTAACTCCATCTCTAAGTCACTGATCTAAAAAAATGTTTGGATCTCATGATTCTAATGTCACCGGCATCCCTAAAAGTCATGCAATCAGCGGGCACTTGGACATTGGCGGCAAGATCTTTATGGTCTCAGTGTTTCTCCCAAGTCCAGGAGTGGTCCCTGGTTTCCTCGACACTAGCTATAAAATGTTTTCCCTTTCTGAACCTTTCTGGGAAAGAAAGTCATGGTCTTTAGTCTCATCAGAACCACCAAAGTTTAATAATGATGGCTGTGGTAGAATAATGCTTAATACCTCATTCAGCTCACACATACACAGCAGCATGCTCTAACTTTGGTTTTTAGTATTCAGCTATATTTCAGGAAAGTGTTTTCTATTGTCTTTGTATGATTTTTTTCCTATTAATGATGA